CGTCACGATGTGGGAAGATTTGCATAACGCCGCCCAAATGTTCACGCAAAGAAAGAAGGCGTAACTTTTTTTTCTCTCTGTAATATTGTTGTTGCCGCCGCCGCCATGTCGTGAAGGCGCTGTGTGTTTCGTTGTGAAAGCGAAACTACGAAAACTACTACTACGATATCCGCTTCGTCATGCCTGGAGCTGATCCGTGCTGGTCGCTGAGGAAATACTTCAACTTCGCGCTGTCAATCGCCGGATCGGCTTTCACCGTGGACGAAGCGGAGTCCAGCCCGGGGCCGTCACATGTGGTTGCCGCAAGCCCACCGGATGCTCCTTCGTCGGATCTGCTGGCCACGCCGTTGTCAAGCCCGCCCGCCTGCTGCCGCTCACTCAAGTATTCGGCCAATCACAACGCACTGGATAGCTGGCCAATCAGAGTTGTTACCCGAATGATCCACAGCTGTGTTTTTTGTTTAGTGATGGTTGTTCATGAGTCCCTTGTTTGTCGTGAACAGTTAAACTTCCTGCTGTTCTTCAGAAAAATCCTTCAGGTCCCACAAATTCTTTGGTTTCTAACCCTTTCCAACAATGACTGTATGATTTTGAGATCCATGATCATCTTTTCACACTGAGGACAACTGAGGGACTCGTATGCATTACAAAAGGTTCAAGGTTCGTTTTTCCTTCTGGAGCATCAGTTAGCATTTGAACTTCAGGTGCTCACTGATGCTCCAGAAGGAAAAACGATGCATTAAGAGCCAGGGGAGGGGGTGAAAACGTTTTGAATTTGAAGATCAGGGTAAATTTAACTTATTTTTTCTTCTGGTAAACATGTAAATATCTACTGTAATGTCTGAAGGGCAGTACTAAATGAAAAAATATGATATTTAGGCAAAATAAGAAAAATGTACACATCTTCATTCTTTTCAAAAGTTTTCACCCCCTGAAATAATAAATGATAAATTCAACTATTATTTTCTATTGTGGACTATATGTAAACATCTTTTATGTGAAATATCTTATTCAGGTCAGCATCCATCCATCCATCCATCGGTTGGTCACAATGCGCTCTGTTAACCAATGCAGGAAATTGTCTGTCAAAATTAGTTTAATATGTTTTTGGATCTGTTTGTCACTGAACAAACTGACTGGCTTACGTTGGACTATCTATCTGTCACCAGATACTTAATGTCCTTGTAACCAGAGCATTTGAGCCCTGTTCACTGCTGTTGTTGTTTGCAGGGAATAAGATAGACCTGGCCGATAAGCGAGAAGTCCATCGGCAGCGAGCAGAGGAGTTTGCGGAGGCGCAGAGCATGCTTTATCTGGAGACCTCTGCCAAAGAATCGGACAACGTGGAGAAGCTCTTTCTGGATCTGGCCTGCAAACTGATCCGCGAGGCCAAGCAAAACACGTTGGACAACAACGACTCCACTCCCATGCCTGGAGAAGGGAAAAACATCAATTACTTGAGCTGCTGCAGCATGAACTAGTAGACTTGGCCACTCTGTCTGGCTGAGGGGGGCAACATGGATTGCATACAAAGTGGTTGTATTGTTGGTAACCACTATGTAGTTGCAGTGGTTACTGTTTTCCACTGTTGTCGAAGTCTAGTTCTTTTACCATTCTTAAATCCCTGGGTATTTTAAAACATTCTGAAAAAACACAATATCAAGATGATGCTGCTTTTAAAGGTGGGTCTGAAGCTTCGAGATGCTTTTGGCCAGAAAAAAGGGCCTTGTTATACAAAAATGCTTGCTAATAGGTCAGACAATGAGATTTTCTACACTTCTGTACAATGCAACAGTTGGGATTTCCCTGCTGACTTGAGAGCCAATGTATTTGTCATATTAGAGATTTGAAAAAGAAATGAGAATGCAGATCTTCATCAGCAATCTTACTCACTTGAAGGACTAGTTCATCCAAAAATAAGCATTCTGTCATCATTTACTTACCCTCATGTTGTTCCAAACCCATATGACTGATTTTTTCTGTGGAACTCAAAAGAAGATGTTTTGAAGAATGTTCATGAAGCTCTTTTCCAACCGAAAGTATGCAGTGACCAACGCAGTCCATATGACTTGTGCATTATATTCCAAGTCTTCTGAAGCCATATGAGGCTTACGGGTTTGGAATGACATTAGGGTGAGTAAATAATGACAGAGTTATTATTTTAGGATGAACTGCTCCTTTAAGACTCATTGCCACAAAATTGGTGTGTTGGTGTGCACATTTATTATTCGCACAAAATGCACTTCTTGATTGCTTGCGAGATTGTTTGAGGTTGCTTATGCATGCGTTTTTTTTTTTTTAAACGGAGAAGTCAATAATGCAAACAGACAGCCAGCTCCCTTAAATAATCTGTGACAGGAAGATGTGAAGTAAAACCACCATTTGTCAGGGATTCAGTTTATAAGAATATAAACTCCCCTTACTGCTTGCATGGTAGTTTGGTTGTTAATACTCAATGAAGGCCATGTCATTTTGAGAAGTCATAGCAAAAACCCAATGTGCCTCTGCCATTTGCATCCTGTCGTCATACATTACATAGCACTGGGGAATCTCATGGAGCACATGTTTGGGTCATATTTAACCCAAAAATATCACTTTAACCGGGTCGATATATTAGTTTGGACGTTTTAATTTCGTTTATTTCAAGGATGATTCTCATTAGACTCCCAGTACTGCAAAATAATACTGCCCAGACACAATTATATTTTTTAAGATTTTTATTATTTTCACTGTACAACATACAGTATACTCCCATAATGTATACACACTTTGCAGTATGTTTTTATTTTATTTTTTTGCATTACAATAATAAGAACAGAAAGGAAAAATGTCCTTAATTAAATAACTGCAAAAAATGTAATTGTTCATAAAATAAGCTTTTTTTTTTCTTTTTTTTTTAGATTTTGAGGTGAAATGCACTACCATTCAAAAGTTTGGGGTCAGTATGATTTTCTTTAAAGAAATAATTTTATTCAGCAAGGATGCATTAAATTAATGACAAATGAATTAATGACAGACATTTATTATGTTATAAATGATTTCTATTTCAAATAAATGCTGTTCTTATGAACTTTTTTTCGTATCACACTTTCCACAAAATATTAAGCAACTGTTTTCATTAACAATAATTAGAAGTATTTCTTGAGCACCAAATCAGCATCTTAAAATTGTTTCTAAAGCATAATGTGACACTGAAGAATGGAATAATGATAGTAATAATATATATTGTAATAATATTTCACAATATCAATGTTTTTACTGTAATTTGATCAAATACATTCAATCTAGGGAGAGATTTCTTTTTAAAACTAAAACAAAAATAAACTTACCGACCCCAAACTTTTGAATGGTAGCGTATGGCGTGTTCTTGGCAGGTTTCATGAGATCATCCGGTCTAGATTTTTCAGATCACAATTTTAGTTGGCTAAGCTCTAGATATTGTCCTTCAGTGTCTTTGCACATTATATGTTAAAAAGTAAACATAATGGACTCAATGTTTTAATGCACTGTCTAAAACGCTTACTTCATTCCATATTGGTAGTCCCCCCCCCGCCCCCCCCATTCTGTCCTTTTACACATTTTTGCCTATTACCAGAACTGAAGTATACCAGGATGCTTTGCTGTTAATTTAGTCCAGCTTTGGTATTGTAATAACCATAGCGATGTTTAAAGCTTTTGGCACTTGAGGGGCCGAGAGAACAGTGTGCATGCAGTTTATGTGTGAATGAGATGTATTTCATAGATGTTTCAGTGAGTTCTTGCACAAATGGTCTTTGTGTTCCAATGCATCATATTGAGAAATAGATGATGGAGTTGTTTAACGGTGTGATACAGTGTGATTCTGGTTTCGCTTGGCCTTTGTTCTGGAACTGTGTTGTGCATTTTAATGACGTTCAAACAGTTGGAACTTGTACCTCCAACCTTGGCTGTGCTGTAAGGGTTTTTGCACCCGTGTCATTACAATGGAACTGTGAATCTCCTCTTTTCAGTATTTTACTTGCTGCTACAGAGCTTTTTCTTTTTTTTCTTTTACAAAATGGATAGAATTACAACTGGTTTTAGATGCCATGTGCTTGATTCAGTGATTTTGTTTAGACTGATTTTTTTTTTTCTTGACAAAAGGTATTCACTAAAACACTAAACACTGTTTAACCTGAGGACCAATTGTTTCAGCTTTTTTGGGTGTCCATGCCAATAATGTTGCAGTATAATGCATTTTCCTCATATTTACACATAGCTGCTTATATGATATTAAGCTTTTCTATTAACATTTTATTTTAAAGTGATAACCTTTTCTAGTTTTGTATAAACTGTTTTCTTTCTATGTTACATGACGTGCCATGCACAGTATTTTCTCTGTCAGGTATTTTTGTCTAGCATTATTTTACAGATATATGCCATATTATAATGTGTTGCATTGTGTACCAATAAGACTCTAGAATTATTTCTTTTCTATGTTAAATGCCCTAATTTCCAGTATAGTATATGTACTACTAAGTGCTTACTTTTTCTGTATGGACAATGTTATTATGACCATTTCATTATGTGAAGTACAATATTCATCAAGGAATAACAGTCGTTTGTCTAGTGAAGATGAAATGCCATTCTTTGAACCCACAAGATCTGTATCCAAAGTAGATAACTACATTTATTGTTTTAGTGTGTGCTTTCAATATATAAGTTGCGATGCATTATGTGTAATACATTTATCATAAAGAGACAAACCCCATGACTGCAGCAATTCAAAGCCGTTTTCTGTGAGCAATTATCTTAAGTCTCAGCATATATAGACTGTAAGGTAATACTTTTTTTCCCAAATAAACATGGTCATGACACAAACTATATTGTAGGAGATATAAATAAATTCTTTAATAAATGAAAAAAAGCTTCTTAATTAAATAAATGCAATGAAGGTGAATTATAATAAAATAATACAAATACAACTTTAATAGACACTATCACAGACAGATTCTCATACAAGTAAATAATTGTACATGTGTTGTTTTGAAATTTTGATACATTATGTGTACTAGTATGTATATATATATATATATATATATATATATATATATATATACACACACACACATATAGATATAGATATATAGATAGACAAATATGTTAATAAATAAATGATAGGATACCATATATATTTATTATGATTTTACTAAAAATAAATGAAAATAAAGAGGAATAAAAAGAAACTACAATACCCATGAGGCATCGCGGTGATCACGTTTTTACAACACGGAAGCACGTTGCGTCGTTATATGAAGTTAACAAAACATTCCATCGACAGAAAGGAGATATAATCCATTTTGAGTGAGCACAGAGATAGATAGGCACCTTTAATAACTATTCGCACATGACGAACAGATTTATCAAGCTTACTGCATGATCATTTTATGAAATGGTCTGACATTTGAAAAATAAAAACTTGAAAGCTACGGGATTGTATATATATATATATATATATATATATATATATTAGGGCGTTACATTGCATCTCTTTTGTTTTTAATGTAGTTTTAACATTTTTGCGTTATGGAGCAACTACGAGTCATTTGACATCCTTCCTCGTTCCTCGCATGCAAATGATCCATCGCTTGGTATTTTCAGATGCACTGTGTGACGGGATTCACTCATTCAGACATGAGACAGATCAACACTGCTCTGCTCTTCTTCCTCCTCATCCTCAGCTGTAATGCACTGGGGCTCAAACCACAGCTCTTAGGCAGACACACAGCCCAAACCAACTCTCAGCACACATCTGTCTCGTACAAAACTTTCTATTTTGATCAACAGGTAAGCGTCTTACTTCTTTGCTTCTCTTACCTGGCTGTTCTTGGCCATAAGAAATCCATGTCAAGATATCAATTTGTTTACATTGATTAGATTTTTTTTTTTTTTTTAATGTAATTTTTTGATAACCAATATGCATTTATCTCATTTAAGCTTTTACACAAAAAAAAAAAAAATATATATATATATATATTAAAACAAACAGACTAAAATAATACAATTTAGACTGCAACAATAAAACATAATACCTTTTTGGTTGTTATTTTGCAAACTTAAATAAAATGGAAGTATATGCATAAAATTGTTTAAACAACAAGAATAATTATAACAGTAATTAGTTTTGTTCTTGTTATCATTGTTGTTTATTGCTTAACCCATTTTATTTATACAAAGTTACTTGTGATCTAAATGGCTGAAGAATTATTTTCATCTGTTTTGTGGTGTGGCTTAAAACAGTAGCACTTACAATGCTACATGTTTCTCGCTTGAAAATGAATGACTGTAAAAAGTACGTTTTCAGGTAATACTTACTTAATAGTAAATACAACCCACCACCAACAGTGCAAATTATCAGTGCATTCAGTAACCAATAATGCACAAAAGAGGAAATATCTGAAAAATAGTGGTTAGACCTATTACATCCTTCTCTAACCTTGATATTGTAATCAGAAACTTATGTGACAGCAACTTGTTTGTTGTCATTGATCACATTTGCAAACCATTGCCATTCCAATCAACTTGTATCAATCAGTAAGTCTTGTGATAGATCACATTGCCAGGCCTTATTTTGCAACCCACAGCAGTTTTATCTGGTTGTGGCTGCTCATTAACTTACAACTGGGCTTCCGTTTTGGATTTCCTTTATTTAATGTGTCCATAATCTGTGCTGTTCTGCTCTGTATTGTGTCTGCAGGAAATGTCCTTTTCCTTGTGGCCCCCAAAGAGTAATAGCAGATCCTTTCGCCCCTATGGGCTTGGGCCCGTGTGCAGATGCATAGCATTTGATGCTGGCAGTCTGCCCGTTTTTCACTTTATTGAACTGAAAGTGAGATCTTGAAAGTCCCTTGTTTTTGTGTGTGCGTCAGGTTTAACATGCTTTGACTAAAATACACAGTGACATTTTTCTTTCTTTAATATATAATTATTTAAATCGTGGTATGAT